TTTCAAATAGATCCATCCTTAATTAAAATCATGAATATTTGACTAAAAAATGCTGGAGCCCCATCATGCATGAATCATATATAAATTTTGTACAGAATTTCAGAATACATCCACTAGCAAGTCTGGATGTTGTGTGAAAAAATAAAACACTATCGACAGCTCGCATAAGACATTAACTGGAGAAGCAAATGGACCTACCAGACAGTCACCTACAAACCCAGCCCACACATTAATTGAAAATTGATGATAGACTATTTTGACAAAAACCTCTATTGTACGAGAAGGTATTCTGAACTCCCACAAATGTTAGAATTCATAAATTTATTATGTTTTCTTCCAAATGTTGTTTCATCCATAAACCAGACTGTAGAGACAAACAATGAATTGGCAATTTGTGCAATAAACCATCAGCAATTTAAAGTTCGATAATGTGAAAGTGATCAGAATTAAAAGACCCTGCACAGATTTGGAAATTATATGGATACAAGTTAGATTGAAGTACCCTCCACAAAATAGAATAATTTAATAAATGATATGTTTATCAAACTTGGAATATGCTTATACTTGGATTGTTTGATAACATCCTGTAGAATGTTGTTTTTCTCAGTTCCTTTATTGTTTTTGGATCCATAGTTTTGGTACCAAAGAAAATATCTCAGCAATTTGACAATAAACAAAGCAAAGGTTAAATTTGGTTAAAAGTCTAGAAATGCAAATGAAAATACAGCTATATGATAACATCCATCAAAATTATTAATGAAAATGAATTTAAAAATCATATCCAATTTGATCAATGACATGAATATAATGTGAATTGTTAAACGGAACACTTCCCAGTTAACTTGACCAGTTCAGTTATGTGCCATCAATAAAATTTTGCTTAGTCAATCATGTATCTTTTGATACATGACTGATGAGGCAGATTTTTTCCTGCAGTAGGTTGCCATTTCTTTCTGTGGTAGACCAGTTGCCATCCAAGACTATAGAATCCAGTTTGTCCTGCTATTTACCCATAGCTGGCTGGAGAAGAAAAGGATTCATACCTTTCCCAAGGGTTTTAGCACAGAAGGGAATGTAATGGATTCGACTGGAATTCAAACTCACTAACTCACTATTACACACATTAAACATTGAAGGAAGACTAGCAACAACCATACACGAATGACAAATCATTTTTAGGTTAAACATGTCAACATTTTGCCATCTACTGTAAACATTCTTTAAACCTAATAACTCAGAAATTAAAGATTTTCGAACACATATTTATATGAATTTTTGTTTTTATTTTAATGTAAGGAATTGTTCCCAACATATATTGATAATATTCTGGTGAGTATATATATATATATATATATATATATATTATATATATATCCTATCAAAAAGTTATGAGTTTCAAAAATATTTGGATATTTTACAAATGTTAGAGTAATAAACATTGAATTTGAGGAAATATATATATATATATATATATATATATATATATATTTATATATATATAAATTCCTAAAAGTAATTAGAATAAAAAAAGGAACTCAATGTCCAGGATAGAGTAAAAATTTTTGATATTTGTAGGTCTGAAATTGGATCATGATTACAATTCCAATCTATTAGATTATAAGCATGGAATATTAGTTAAAACCTTTTTTTTATATATATATATATATATATATATATAAAAGGGAAATATATATGTGTGTGTGTGTGGAAGAAAATGAAAAAATAGATGAAAGCTCCACTAATATTTTAATTATTTTATATCCAATGCAAAGCAAAAGGCTTGTAAAATATTTCAAGATAGAATTGTGAACCATTATGACAAACCCAATGAATCAAAATATATTGTTCTCGCCACCAAACTCTGTCACAACTACAATTGAAAAGAATTCATCTTAGCTTAATATAAACTTCATTAAAACTACTTCTAAAACAATGAAAGGCTTAATTAATACAAAACAAAATGATAAAGATGAATTTAGTCTATCATCTGAAATAATTGGAATATACACAGGAAAAACCTTGATGAATTTAAATAAAAGATTATATGAAGACAAAAGGGATATTTTACAAAACAACACACTCAATGCATTACTTGTTCACCATAATGAGTTTGACTATAATTTCAATTTAAAAAATATTACTTTAATTAAAAAAGAAAATGATTTACTTAGATGAAAATGTATGAAAAGTGTTTTTATTCACTAGATCATCTCGAGTACATTTTTGTCCAGGTGCTTATAATATTTTTTTTTCTTTAATAAATAAGTCTTTTATATATATATATATATATATATATATATATATATATATATATATATATATATATATATATAGAGAGAGAGAGAGAGAGAGAGAGAGATTGGTAGATTTTCTAATATCCCAATGTGGGATATTTAATAATAAAGTGATGAAAATATGAACAAAAAGAAAAAGAAACTAAATGAAATTGGCTAGACTGTTTATGAAAAAAAAAATGAATTTAAAAATATTTTAAAAGATTAAAATTCTACTATTCCCTCTCCTTCATGTGCATGTTTATAATACATCAATGATAAACATCACTTTTTAGTCCATTGAATATAAAAAGAACAAAAACATGTCACATAAAAAAATTTTCCACTTTGTCATTAATATTCCTAATATATATATATATATATATATATATATATTATATAAAAAATTACTTATTTTTTAAATATCAATTTTATCTTTGATTTCAAAGATTCTTGGTAAAATTTCAGTCATCTTATATATATATATATATATATATATATATATATATATATATATATATATATATATATATATATATATATATATATATTTATGCATGGCCATTGTGGAGAGTAATGGATTGTGGCTTGGATTATTAATCAGAGACGAGTTCTAATTTCTCTTGAATAATTACATTAACTTACTATATTATACCCTTGGGAAATATATAAAATTTTAAATTTCTCCCACCAGCTAATGGGTAAACAGCAGGATAGACTGGGTTCTATTGCATTTGGAAAAATGGTCTACTTCAGAAAGAAATGGCAAATTAAAATGTGGAAAAAACTGCAATGTCAGTCATGTATTGAAAGATACATGATTAAAAAGCATGTATCACATATTCATAATAACTTCTTGACTAGTGGAAAATAAAATTGCAACACCCTAAGTATTTGTTTGAATTTATTCAATATTTTAGTGCAGCAGTAATATAGCAGGATTACACTAAATAATTTAATATATGAATAGTGTATGTATAGTACTCAGATCCTATTTTAATACACATTATACTTCTCTTGGGGGATAAATACAGTCATGTAATTTTATACAGAGACAGTCATATAGATAATGAATATCATCATTCAGTGCATTATTCTGTGCATCTTGCACATATTGCTGCAATGCAACAGGAGTTGGATTGATTGGTTATTTTGTTTTACAGAAAATCAACCTCAGTGGGTCATTTAATGCCAACACTGTTTTGGGATGGATTTTAGCATAGTTTGGTAGAATATATATATATATATATATATATATATATATATATATTGCCATTTTATATCATTAACTTTACTAATCTACTTTTTGTATGAATGATTCATTGTAATATAAATTGAACTGCACCACATATTTGATTTAAAAGAACTGATCTGATGTGCAAATTTTTGTGATAACAAATGAGACATTACTCTATTTACTGAACAATTTAGTTTATGCCACATTGACTGATAAACTCCTACAACAAAAAAATTCTCAAATTACCATATTAGTAAAAAATGCACTCTTTTAAATTTTCAAAAAAGTCAACATTAGTGTTGCGACTACATGCTCCAAAAGTTATTTGTTAACAATAACACATTTAAAAAAACATATTTCGATTTGCATTTAATTTTTTGTCTCTGATGCTACTTGGATTTTAGTAAAAACAAAATAATTTCCATACCTGAGGATGACTGAATGTACAGTTGAAAGTACTTGCAGATTAAAAAAAAGCCTTATACAGTAGTTATTAAAAACAAGGATCATAACATTCACCAAGTGATTCGGAGGTTAATGCAACTTTAAAATTTTGTTTGCAAAAGGATTTTGCCATTTTATATCATTAACTAATCTACTTTTTGTATGAATGATTGATTGAAATATATATATATATATATATTTGAAATTTTTCACTAATTTGTATATATTTTTGAGTACATTCCAATTGCTTTTTAAAATCTAGTGTTATTTCCATAAAGAGTTTCTTCAAATTACATTGTTAAATTAATATTGAAAATAAATCAATTCAAGTTTGTAGATAAAAGCAGTATATGTTTGACTGTGGATCTTTTGAATAAGTACATATTGGGGATTTTAAAACCCAGTAAATGATGGTGGGTGATATTTCTTTTGTGGACTATGGGAAGGCATTCAATACAACTTGTTCTCTTCTATTCTTGTATTTTGTGTTCCATTCTCCAATGGTAGGTTTTTATGTTCTGTAGTTTGTTATTAGTGTATTTATCCCAATGATTTTGCCACTTCTTAAAGATAATTCTATTCACTACCACAACAAGAGTTAGAAGTGGATAAACTAAACAAACGAGGTGTCACCCTATTATGTTCCATCCAGGCTCAGTTGTACCAGCCAGAGAGTCTGGTGCATATCTTGCAGAGCATTTGTATGAGAGTCTGTTCTCCAGAATTAAATTTATTGCAGCATGCAAGAAGAATCTGCAATGTTATTGTCAGCGTTATTTTCATTTTTGTGTAACTTAGACAACAATATATATATGTATATGTAAACATATATATATGTATTCTTTAAAAATTGCTGTATTATATAGGAAGAGGGCTCAGTATCTGAAACAGAGTGTTTATAGACATAAATGGTGTAGATATAGGAATCAACACTGCATAATAACAGTCATTAGTCTGAATATAGCACCGAGTTGTGAAAATGACAGTCACTATGTCATACTGATTCCTATGTCTATAAGTTAATTTAACTATCTATTTATATATCTAAACACCAGTTCACATTTGATCACCATAGTTAAGCAATGTTGAGCTCAGTCAGTACTAAAATAGGTAACCACTTTGGAATATTGGGTACTGTAAACATCTGAAATATGTTTCAACTTTAAATAACCCACAAAAGGTTGATAAGATATAAAAAACAAATCAATCAATCAACAATATTTTAATCTAGAAAAGATTACTGAATGAGGAATAACTAAAACAGAGGTTGGAAATAAAATGATTAACTTTATAGCATCAACAAAATACAATACTCACCAGCAGCATGAAGTAGGTAATCCACTGCTAGTGGTGGACTACTTAGACAGCATATTACCTCCACTTACAATAGTGTCCAATGTATTTATAAGGATTGGGACATAACTGTTAGTGTTCATGGGTATGGTATATAACAAACACTTTACCTATCTATCTCTCTTATATATAACTTCTCAGTTAACTCACTACTACACACATTAAACATTGAAGACAGACTAGCCTCAAATGTACATGAATGATGCATTAACCTACTAATCACTCAATGAATGTTATGATTCTTGTTTTTTTTAAAACTGTATTAGATCTTCCTTAAATACACAAGTTCTTTCAACTGTGTGTACAGTCATCATCAAGCATGGAAATTGTTTTGTTTTTGGTAAAATTCAGGTAGCTTCTGAAACAAAAAAATATAATGTGAATTGAAATACATTTTTTTAAATGTGTTATTGATAATGGATACAAACTTGTGGAATGTGCAGTCACTAAAAAAAACAAGGATCATAATCATTCATCAAATGGTTAGTAGGTTAATGATTTTTTAAAATTTAGTTAGCAAAGAGATTTCGCCATTTTATATCATTAACTTTACTAATTTACTTTTTGATTCATTGTAATATAAATTGAATTTTGCACCATATATTATTTATATATATCTTTATATATATATATTAAATCAAATATTTAAAACAATAATCACATCTATCCAACCAAATATATATATATTTTGGTTGGATAGATGTGAGTTTGTGACCTGGGTTTCACGCTTTAGCGATCGTCAGACAAACTGATTAATTTTTTAAAAAATTTGGGTTTATGTAGATTGCGTGTATTGGTGTTATTATTGGAAGTGGTGGGGAAATTTCGTCGTTTTGTCATTCATCGTCTAACACAAACATATATATATGCAGACAAATATACATACTTGGTCGTCCGTGAGGACTCATACATATATAAACATATGTGGGCAGTTTCAGATATGACACATGTATGTATACGGGTGGTGTTATGTCTATACATACGCATTTGTATGTTGAAATGTTGAAATTTAAACTTTGGAAAATATTATAAAAAATATCAAATGGGTCACAAACTTTTTCTATCCAACCAAATATGTTATTTCTATCTCTGATATCATCTATCTTACCTAATATTTTTTATATAAATTCATATAATATATAAATAATTATACATATATATATTTATTTATATTTATATATTTTTCAATATATATATATATATATATATATATATATACACACATATATATATGATTATATATAAATGGAATAAATTCCAATAACAAAAAATACTATTCTTAGTATTAATTTTATTTTTCGTAGAGAAATTCTTTAATTTATTTAAAAATTATAATAATATATGTTATAAAATGTTACAAATATAGCCATTTTGTTTCAACACTTTGGTGTCTTATCAAATGATAGTGTTCAACACCAGAAGTGCAGAAACAAAATAAATTTGAAAATTGATAATATAATTTGATTTATGTTATAATTTTAAATAAATATATATATATATATATATATATATATATATATATATCAAGCAGAGGAAAATGATATATCCAACCCATTCTATGTTCTTTTTGGTATTTACTAAGCTTAGTATGGTGTGGCACAAAAATCAGCATAAAATACCCAGTGAGAAGTGGTGTGTGAGAGCATTTAATAACCATTGTTTTATGGCAAGAATTAAATGTTAGTGCTAAGTTAAGTTACGTTTGGCACTCAGCATTGTGGAGTTCAAAAATAGGATCAAATTCATTTTAATGGTAAAAGACCTGCTTAAAATTTTATATAAATGCAAAATTTCATTACTCATCTAAATTTGTCTTTTCCGAAATCCATGTGGAATTGAATATGCATAAAATATGTTTATGCACCTTAATGTAAATGCTTTCTTCTTCAAAGTGCCATGTTTCTTCAGAATGTGAGCAATCATGGCTCTCCACAACTTGTAGCGCATAGCAATATTTGTCTACTTACTATCCCCCTTAGTCCTTGTTTTGCCAGCCATTTATGCAAATACATGAGATAGGTTACTCTCTGTTTCTTACTGTCCTTCCTGTCTCCATTATGTCTTGTGTGTGTCAAATTTCCTAACCCCTTTTTCCTCATTAATTTCAATTGTCACTTTCTGATTCTAAGTATAAGTGTCCTTTTTGTTTTCATTTTCCTTAAATTGTCCTCATTGTTTCTATGCTCCATCCATGGTAATTCTCAGCATCCTTCTGTAGAACCATATATCTGCTGCTTCAAGTCTCTTTTTCATCTGTGAGAAAATTGTCCATCAATCTCTGCTATGTAGGAGGCTTGATATTACATAGCAGTTCAGCACTCTTTTCTTTTTTACTAATGAAATTTTCCCGTTTCTTAATAACTTTGTTGTTGAAAGAAAATCAAAAAGATAATTCTTGAAATCTCAATTATAAAATATATAAAAGCTTGATATTACATAGCAGTTCTGCACTCTTTTCTTTGTTAATAATGAAATTTTCCTGTTTCTTAATACTTTGTTTAGCTTTTGGAAGTCATTTTTGTCTTGAAATCTGAAGGCATACATCCCATATATGCTTTCAGATTTCAGTGTCACACTTTTCATCCTCTGTTAAAACACTTCCCAGATATATTTCTGTACTTGATTGATCTTGACATCTCCAATCCATACCCATTCCTCTTGCTGACAATAAAATAGTCTGTCTTCTTACAATTGGTGGTTAGTTCTGCTTTCCTTTACTACAATTTAGAGATCCTGTGGTTTTCTTTCTGTGATTGTTATCAACACTGGATAATCTGTATATCTTGTGTTGTTAAGATGGTGAAATATTAAGATAATAAATCCTGGTAGGATTTCTACTTCTCTTCAGGGGTTAGAAAATTTGACACACTTCAGGTTGCTTCACTTAAAAGGTTGAATAAATCTGTAGAGAAAACACATCTTTGTCTTATGACCTTTCTATTTTTGTGTAGGTAACTCAATTCATTTTCTATCTTAATTTGTTTTTGTGAGACTAATTTATGAACTTTGAAAATATGATCCTAGATTTCTGATTTGGGATCTGATCACCCCATTTCTATTTTCCCACAGTATACAAACGTTTTCTCAAATCAATGGTTGAAAATGGTTTCAAGGGGATAAATGCTATAAATTTTAAAGAAAATGACCTTTCACCAGATCCTTATAAAACTGGGGGTTACAAAAATGGATAAAAATTTTTTTTTGAAATAGAAAAAACCACATCAAAAAAAAAACTTTTTAATAGATAACAACAAAAAAAATGTTTTGCTTTATGAAACTAGAAGGGAAAATAATGATAGAATCAAGATGTTGATTTTCCATTCTACCAGAAATAAAAGATAAAAGATTTAAAAATTGATTTTTGATTGATTTGTTTTTTTACGACTTATCAACTTTTTGCAGGTTATTTAATGCCAGAAAATATTTTTAGATTGAAAGACTTTTTTTAGAAGATAATAATGATTTTAATGATATAAGTCCTACTGATTAATACATATATGGGGGAGAAGAGGTGGATTCATGACTTTTCTAATGCTATTTGTGCACAAGTGAATATAACAAAACCAGCTGGAATTTGAACCTGGCTTTCCAATTTCCAATTCTGAGCCATTATCCATTACACCACCTGCACATCCAAGATTACAGCACCTGGTATTGGAAATTTGATTATTCAGTAGGTAATCATTAATCTCAACATTAAATTATTTTCAGTGATCAGGCAATGTGATATGGCAGTAAACCTAGATTTTGAAAAAAAACTTCCATTAATACTAGAATGACCAATAACAGTTACTGGACTGGTGAAACCTATTTTTCTGAAAAATCTGTTTTAAGAAAAGGATTTTTATAAATTTCAGTTGACAGTGACACTGTTCAGTTAGTGACTACTAAATGTTTCCTGTACTAAAATGGCTAATTATGATTATTATTTATTTATAATTAACATCTCCTAGTGATTTTTGAAATTTTAAAAATTAATTATTTTAGTTTGTTCATTTATAAATCAAGGAGTCAGATGGATTCACCTGAATCATATATTTGAACAGGGTAGGGGTTTATATATTGTTTCCTGATTTTATATTGGGTTTCCCCTTCCTTAAAAGTCTATTTCAACTTTTCTAACGTATATTTGAACTCTGGCAATTTTTAATTTAATTAAATTTTGACTTAAAAAGTGTAGAGTTTCTTTGTTAAGGGTTTTTAATTTATTAGCCTAAATAAGATCATTTTGCTTTTTCTTATTCATTAATTTAAATCTAAAGTGTCCTTGGGCCTTGTATTTTTGAACATTAGTATTATAAAAAATTTTTAATATTTAGAAAGTATAAAATAGAAAAAGCAAGAAATAACTCAATTGACATGAAGAAGATATTCTTGATATTTTAATAACTAGAATTATATATTTTAGATGGCCACTTTAAACTTGTAGGGTAATATTAAACAAATAAATTACCTATGGTTTATGTCTATATAAAATTGGTATTATGTATTATTATTTTAACACAAAGAAAAAGTGAAAAAGAAATGAAGTTTATGGCTTGTGAAAAAAACATTGCTGGGTGTGCTTAGTAGTTGTAGTAGAGGTGAAAGATTATTTGGTTCAAGCATTTGCAGAGGAGGATATGATTTCTCTTTAAGTTATTTATTTTTCTTTTTTTCCTCTACCTATTAATTTTTATCAGATTTCCTTTTCATCATTTTCTTATTCTTAAAAACATGAAATTTGGAAGAGAACAGTCACAGGCTCTTTCCAATTGCTTGAATGTGTGGAGCCAGGGGTCTCCAGAGGTGAAATCTGATAGTGTAACACTGTTCCCCAAATATGCTAAACTAGATGAGAGGAAGAAGGAGGAGAAAAAAAAGAGGAGGAGGAGGAGGAGGCAGGGGGGTCAAAGAGAAGAGAACAAATGAGAAGAAAAGAAGAAAATAAAGAAAAAAGAAGGATTAAGAGAAGAAGAGGGTCAGAAGAAGTTGGAGTTTGAAAAGGGGAAGGAAATCAAATAGGAGAGAAAAAAAAGAAGAAATATGGAGAGGGTAAAGAGTGAAAAAAAAAAAAGGCTTGAGAAGAGAACAGAGAACAAAAAAGATGATGATGAACAAAGATCAAAATAGATGAAGAAGAAGAGGAAAAAATTAGAGTTAAGAGTAAAAAAAAACTTAAAAGATGGTAATGAAAAATTCCATCAACTTTTATTCAAAAAAAAAGAAGAGGAAAAAGAAATGAGACCAAGTGAAAAACAAACTCAAATCTTTTCATCATCATGATAGTAGATCATGATGATGAAAAGGACAGAAAAAATAAGAGGAAGAAGAAGAAATGCAAGTAAAGTGTGAAAAAACTCTAAGAAAATGAGGAAGAACATAATGATATTGTTGGTAAAAAGGGAGACAAGAAGAAGAGGAAATGAATTTTTGTTTTAAAAATTTCAAGAAAAAAAGAGAAAAAAAGAAGACCATAATGATGAAAAGGAGAGAAGAAGAAGAAGAAGAAGAAGAAGAAAAAGAAGATAGTAAAAGAAGAAAAGGGTGAGAAGAACCTGCTAATTATGAAAGGGGGGAAAAGGTGAAAAAAGGAAAAGAAGGAAAAAGAAAGAAGAAAAAAGATGATGATGAAAAGGAAGAAGAAGTTGAAGAAGAAGAAATGAAGATAGTTTTTTAAAAAAGGAAAAGAAAAATGTTATTTAAAAAAAGGGGGGAGAATTGTGAAAACCGAAAAGAAGGAAAAAATCTTCAAAAAGATGATGATGAAAAAGGAAGAAGAAGAAGAAGAAGAAGAAAAAGAAGATAGTAATGAAAAAAGGAAAAGAAGAACCTGCTAATTATGAAAGGGGGAGAAAAGGTGAAAAGCGAAAAGAAGGAAAAAGAAAGAAAGAAAAAAGATGATGATGAAAAGGGAAGAAGAAGAAGAAGAAGAAGACCATAATGATGAAAAGGAGAGAAAGAGAAGAAAAAAGAACAATCATGAATAAAGAGCAAAAAAGTCAAATGATGATGATGATGATGATAAAAAGAGGAAAAATATGAAGAAGAAGAAGAAGAAGAAGAAGAAAAAGAAGATAGTAATGAAAAAAGGAAAAGAAGAACCTGCTAATTATGAAAGGGGGAGAAAAGGTGAAAAGAGAAAAGAAGGAAAAAGAAAGAAAGAAAAAAGATGATGATGAAAAGGAAAGAAGAAGAAGAAGAAGAAGAAGAAGAAGAAGAAGAAGAAGACCATAATGATGAAAAGGGGATAAAGAGAAAAAAAAGAAGAATCATGAATAAAGAGTAAAAAAAGTCAGATGATGATGATGACAAAAAGGGGAAAAATATGAAGAAGAAGAAGAAGAAGAAGAAGAAAAAGAAGAAGAAACAAAAGATAGTAATGAAAAGGGGAAAAGAAAAACATGATAATGATGAAAAGAGGAGAAAAGGTGAAAAGAGAAAAGAAGGAAAAAAAGAAAACAAAAAAGATGATGATGAAAAAGAAAAAGATGATCATAATGGTGAAAAGGGGAAAAAGTGTAAAAAGGAAAAACAAAACAAAGCAAAAGATGATAAAGAAAAGAAGAAATTGGGACACAGTTTAAGAAAGAAAATCATGATGATGAAAAAGGGACAAAGATTAAAATGAAAAATAAAAGAACAAAGAAGATGAAAGCAAAGAAACAAAGATGAAAAGAAAGCGTTAAAAAGTAAGAAAAAGAAGAAAAAGAAGAAGCAATTGGTAGAGAGCTCTTAGAGACGATAAAAAGAAAGAGAGGTAAAAGTAGAAAGAGCAAGATCCAGAAAGAGAAAAGGAAGAACTACATGGCAGAAAAAGGACTGGGATGTTGATTTGGGGAATAAAGGTTTAGAATTAATGGCAGTGTAGGTAGGGAAAAAAAAAAAACATGAAACCAACAAGTTGACCTCTGTTTAGCACCCTCTCACCAATGGACAGCCTGGAGGTTAGTTCTTAGTGATGAGGAATGGTCATTAAGAACAACACTCAGATCCTTTTAACTGATGTGGGAGAAAGAAGTGATAAGGAATGTTGGGTGGTTATTTGGAAAAGAAAACTGTATATAGCCCTGGAAATGCACATCCTTCTCCCTTCCACTCTAACAGAACAAGAACCAAAAGTCAATTTCAAACTCTCATCTTGCAAAAGATAAAAAAAAAAAAAAAAAAATTCTGTACAGATTCACTGGCCAGCAATTCCCTTGTGTGAAAAGTCAGTCAGTTATGTTCCATGCCTGATACAAGCTTAGGCGACCATGTATCTTTCAATACATGTCTGATGAGGCAGATTTTTTTCCTGCAGTAGGTTGCCATTTCTTTCTGTGGTAGACCAATTGGCATCCAAGGCTATAGAATGCAGTCTGTCCTGCTATTTACCCATAGCTGGCGGGAGAAGAAGAGGATTCATACCTTTCCAAAGTGAAAGGTATGAATCCTTTCGTAAGTGAATGTAATGGATTAGACTGGAATTTGAACTTGGTTCTCCGATTCCTCAATCCGAGCCACTATCCATTACTCCACATGTGTGAAAAGGGTCAATGTTAAAATTCCTTATCTTTAACAGACCTATTTACTCTGTTTAATTCCACTTGTTTACCTTTTCCATATCATCAGTTACACTGATTTTAACTTTCAAACTGTTTTTATAAAGGACCATTCTTGTATATGTCTATCACTATGCTCCTATTACATGCACTTCAAAAATTTTACAAAGCATGGCAGATACAATTTTTTTAAGTGGCCTTGGACCAGATCAAGTTTAGGCAAAAAAAAAAAATTTGTGTGATGTGTGTGTGTAGAGAGAGTAAACTAAAAAGAAATGCCTTTTTTGCAAGCTCAACAAATAAAATTAGAAAATTTGCCAGTGACTAAATGAATACCGGATATTTTATAAGTAAACCCTGTAAATATATTCAACCATATATGTATTTTAATAAGTCAATGAATATTTTGAAATACTTAAATTTTAAAATCACAATCAGAATGAATTTCAACTTAAATATTTTTGATTTTTTAGGAATTAGAAATAAAAAAAGAAGAAAATCATACAATTGGATTTTCAACAGTGTGTGTGTCTATATATATATATATATATATATATATATATATATATATATATAAAAAAAGAAAAGAACAGTAAGATATAAAATTTGGTAGTTATTAAATTGATATTTTTTATTTTTACAAAAAAACAGTGCTCAATATAAATTTACAGAGAATAAATATTATAAATTAACTCATTTAAAATATGGTTTCTCTGCTACACAGGAATTACCATGTTTCAAAAACCAAAGCTAAAAACATCAAATTTAATTATATAATTAAATTAAAAGCATTAGTTCTGTTTCAAGCAAATTTTGGAATAACTTATTTTTAAATTTACTGAGTTTTAAACGCACATACAATACATAATTTTTTGTTTCCAAGGATTCAGTGAAATCCAATCATTTAGACAGGGATGGTAGCATGTTCATTTTTATAAACTATTATTGCATCAATTATGAGTTACGTTTGAAAAAGAGGTCAAGTCCAGGTAGGGTAGGGATGTATTTTCAAAAATTTTGTTTTCTGAAGTGGTTATAATGGTTCAAGTTTTCTTTTAGAAAATCAATGACTTAGTAGTGAGTTCAATCCTCATTGGTACTTTATATTTTCGGCCTTGTGCCACATCTAAAAAGGGGTGTTTGAAAATCACTATATATATATATATATATATATATATATATATATGTAATTGTTTATTTGGGCAGAAATTACTTTTTTACTATATTGTTTCATTAAAATGACTGAAAAAACTGGTTAATTTAGCTTTTTATTTAATTTTTCTTGTATTCCTATAAGAGTTTTCTTTTCTGGACATAAAGTCTGTAAAAATTATACAAATGTTCTGCATATCCAAGTGCTTTCAAGTTTTCTTTTCATTATTAAGGATAATTTTTTTAATTTTTTATTTTTAACTGAATGCAAGCTTTTTTTTTTGCATGTATCTAGAGATAGGAATGTTTTATTTTCCAAACACTGTCAGCACATTGTGGCCATATTCATGGTTAAAGTTACTGAGTGTTGGCTTTTTATTTTTTATCATTAGTGCTTCCATTATTTTTTGTTATTTTTTTTTTACATGTGGATTATATTTGTATTTTCTACAAGTATATCCATTTGTAACATACTTGTAGAAAATAAAAGGAAAGTAGAGGACAGTTCATCAGAACAATAACCATGAAAATATTTACAGAAAAGGCACAGGGAAGCCACATTACAGCAGTGAGAAATTGACTGAAGCCAAGATGCCAGGTCAGGACCAATAACATTGCTGATTCTTCTTTATATTTTATCGAGAATCTCCAAATATACAGCAGAATCACCTGACCAGATGTGGCAGCAATATTCAATGCATGGATGAATGGTAGACTTATAAATATGCAAAACAGATTCTGGTGAGAAAAATTGTCTAGCCTGACACAGGGAACCAACTTTCCTAGCAGCAGACTTAGCAACTGATTCAATATAAGCTTTCCACTTTATGTCAGTGGAAAAAATTAGCCCAAGAAAATGCAATGAGTCACTCTTCTGGAGGTTAGCATCAGCCATGCTGATGAAAGGCAAAAAGAGTTCTCTCAGATGATTAAAAAATGAAGTTTTGTTTTGGATGTGTTAAACTTAACAAGCCATTCTTTGCCCCAGTTAACAACAGTTTGAAGGGTAATTTTGAGATCAGCTGCCTATTTGACCTTATTGAACTGAGCAGACTTACTATTATAACAGTAGTAAATAGTTGCCATCAGCATAGATATCAAGTTGAAAACTGATGATATCAGGAAGGTTGTTGATGAAAATTAGGAACAATGTACCTCCTAGCATATTATGTTCATTAATGCAAGAAAATCTCGAAGAGTGGCCATTGTTTCACAATTTTATAAGAAAGATTGAATCAGTTCAAAAATTTGTTCAGAAATACCATAACCTTTCAACTTGTAAAGAAGACCAACATGTCAAATACCTTCAAGATATCCAAAGCAACATCTTTCTTATTTAAATTATGATAGACTCTTTCAGCAATAATTGTTAATAGATTAGCAGTTAACCTAGAGAAGCAAAAACTGTACAGCTTATCTAAAAGAAGACCACACAAGGCAAGATGCTTAACCAATCCAGAGTTGATTAGAGCTTCTAGTACATTGCCAAATAGAGGTAGAAAGCTTATTAGGCCAATAGTTAGAAGGACCCAACATTTTGCATTTCCAACAAGCAGGAAAGCAGAAACTTGTAAAGAAAGGAAACTTGTAAGCAAATAAGTTGTCACATTGTAAGAAATCAGACAACATGCAAGAAAGGAAAAGGATAGAAGATGGAGAATATTAATTAGGCAGTCTCAAAGAATGGTTAATGTTTAAAAGTTATGTACTCTTAAAGATTATTAGAAACCACTGTTGCCTATCATTTAACAGTAATTTATTGCTTTAATATGATAAATCTGACCATGGAATCGGAAGCAATAAAAGACCATACCCAATTGGGTCAGCAATATGTGCATCCGTGGATGAAAAGAAAGAGATGAATTATGTAATCTAATATTGTCTTTGAAGTTTCCAGGGTGGATATGTTCCGGTTGTTTAATTAAATTCTCACAAAAATATTCCGATAGAATACAGAGAGACGTCAAAAAAAACTGATATAATAAAATTTTATTTTTTCAAAAAATAGTTATTAAATTTCTAATTGGCGGGTCATTCTGGTAAAATGTTGAATGAACCGTGAAACTAGAAATGTCTGTTTAATTAATAATTATGTTGAAGATGTTTTTGAAATTTTATTATTTTTTATTTCAGAAGTGTCGACCAGAAGCAATCCTCTGTTTGTCAACTGCACTTCTAGTAAACATTGCATTATGAAGAAACAATTTTTCATTTTTCAATCATCTAAAGAATAACAAAATTTGTTTTTAATAATAAAATTTTTAAATACTAAATTTATTTATTGTTTTAGTTATTTGGATTGTTTTGATTCATTCTGTTCAATTTTAGCAAAAATAAAAGAAAAGAAAAAAATGAAAACACATCTTATACCTTTTCATTTTGAGTTTTTCCATATGGGCTCTAAAATAAACATTTTGCCTTTTTAATGTAGCGATTTTTCTGGGTTTTATATATAATTGTCTTCTTCCTATCTATAACCAACATCTTTCTCTCTATAACCGGGAAATCTGTTCAACTGAATTCATTCTTTCTCTATAACCATCTTTCTCTCTATAAACATCAACTCTCTGTTCATAGCCTTTACCCTTCTATCTATAATCACCACCTTTCTCTCTATAACCATCATCTTTCTCTCTATAACCATCAACATTCTATAACTAGCAACTTTCTATTCATAGCCTTTACTGTTCTATCTATAACAATCATCTTTCTCTATAAATATCAACTCTGTGTTCAAAGCCATTACCTTTCTTCCTACAACCATCATTTTTCTGTCTATAACCATCAACTTTCTATTCATAGC